CCTATACACTCTAAATCAGAATGTGAAATGGTGAGGCCAACAAGGTTTATTTTTCCAATCTTCCCAAGGCTTCTTCTAGGGCCCAGCAGTCTGGTTTGCAACCCAGTCTTCTACAGCAATATCTTTCTATTCGTAAGAAGGAGCCAATGACACGTAGGTGTTAAATTAAGGTCTCTTGGATTAGCTTTTGGATCCACTGTTCCAAAAGGACAGGTTCTCAGGGGGCTGGCATTTTCTTGGAGTGAAGTGGGAGCTGCTGCAGGGGCTGAGGAAGTGGGAAGGAGCTCTTTGCTGCATTCCAGAGCAGATCTGGCTGTGAACAAACGAGGAAGAGCTTTAGTGTAAGCCGGGCTGAATGGATAATTAAACAGATAGCAAAACGGAATGCAGTTGCACACACCTCCCGGGAGCTGGCTGGGGGGAGATAATATGCTTTCCCGTTGTCAGAAGGCACAGGAGGAAAAACAACTGGGCCTGGCCGTTGGCCATTTAACAATATCGCTTTTGTAAACAAGTTGAAATATCCAATAACTGTAAAACTTATGGCATGTCCTTAAGAGCCTGTTGCTGTTTTCCCTATAAATGGATGAGCGTTTCTGACTGAAGGTGTTCTAATTAAACAGTCTGCATCCCCAGGGGCTGCAAGGTCATCCTCAGGAAGGAGGGTCTGACTCCTCCTCATGGCCTCAGGACCACGAGTGGGGGTGGTGAGCTTGGGGCGCTGCCAGGCGTTGCCAGGCGGTGTTTCGTTTGTTTTGTTAGTCACTATGCTGGATTGTAGCTGAACAGCTCTCCTCCTTCCCTTTGTTTGCAAAGACTCCAAAGAGCAATCCAGCACAAACTCAAAGAAGCAGACTCTTACAATAGAAGTGGGGCAGTGAGTGCCCAGCAAAGAGGCAGCCCTTCAGGCTGGGAGGAGAGAGAAGAAGGCTGGATCCGTTCATCAGAAAACACTTTGGCGGTGCAAGCAATATCCTATGACAGAAAGGTAGAAAGTCTAGTTCTAGGCCTAGAGGAGCTCACAGTCCTGATGGAAAGAGAATGCAATTACACATGCACACATGCACATGCTCACACATGCACTCACATACATACTCACACGCACACATGCACATGCTCACACACGTACTCACATACATACACGCACACATGCACACGCTCACACATGTACTCACATGCACACTCATGCACATGCTCACACATGTACTCACATGCTCTCACACACACACTCACACATGCTCACATGCACACTCATACCTGCACTCACATACATACTCACATGCACACTCATGCACACGCTCACACATGCACTCACATACATACTCACATGCACACTCATACCTGCACTCACATACATACACAAGCACACATGCACATGCTCACACATGCACTCACATACATACTCACATGCACATGCTCACACATGTACTCACACACATGCTCTCACATGCACACACACATGCTCACACATGCACGCTCACACATGCACTCACATACATACTCACATGCACACGCTCACACATGCACTCACATACATGCACACACTCACATGTACTCAGACACATGCTCTCACACACACACATGCTCACATGCACACTCATACCTGCACTCACATGCACACACATGCACATGCTCACACATGCACTCACATACATACTCACATGCACACGCTCACACATGCACTCACATACTCACATGCACACGCTCACACATGTACTCACACACATGCTGTCACACGCACACTCACACACATGCTCACATGCACACTCATACCTGCACTCACATACATACATGCACACTCATGCACATGCTCACACATGTACTCACACACATGCTCTCACATGCACACACATGCTCACACATGCACACTCATACCTGCACTCACATACATACACATGCACACATGCACATGCTCACACATGCACTCACATGCATACTCACATGCACACGCTCACACATGCACTCACATGCATACTCACATGCACACGCTCACACATGCACTCACATACATACTCACATGCACACACTCACACATGCACTCACATACATACTCACATGCACACGCTCACACATGTACTCACACACATGCTCACACGCACACTCACACACATGCACACTCATACCTGCACTCACATACATATGCACACATGCACATGCTCACACACTGATGCACAAGCTCACACACTCATACATGCACACTCATGCACACATGCTCACACTAACACACATGCACAGGCTCACATGCTCACACACACATGCACACATGCACACATGCACATGGTCAAACATGATCACACTCATGCACGGGCTCACATGCTCACACACATGTACACTCATGCACACACATGCTCACATGCACTCATGCATATGTTCACACATGCTTACTCACAAACACACATGCACACACATGCTCACACTCATACCCATGGTCACACATGCACACTCATATACATGGTCACATGCTCACACATGGACACACACGCTTACATATATTCACACACTCATGCACAGGGTCACACATGCTCCCACTCACACACATTCATGCTCACTCACACGCTCACTCACACACACATGCTCACTCATGCACACACACATCCTAAAAAGGGAATCAAGGGGCAGGATCCCAGCACTAGTAAGTGGAGCAGATCAGTGGTGGCGGGCAGGGGTGAGGGGACAGTGCTCTGGAGCTGGGGTTCTTCATAGAGGAATCACAGAAACTCAGGGCTGAGTGGGATCCTAAGGCCACTTGGTGCAAAAGTCAGCTCTCACTCTCTTCCTCCCCTTTCCTCATCGATGTGGAGCTTCACAGGTAATGGGCACAGTCCTCTGCAAGACTGTCCTCATTCCAGACATCAGCAGCAAGCTCACGGGTTTCCCAGGCCACTCATACCCTATCCAGTTGGCCACAAATTTAGGAGTTCCCATGATCACCCTCAGATTTGATAATTTGCTAGAAAGACTCACAGGACTCAGGGAAGCACTATATTTAAGATTATAATTTTTAAAATTGTAGTAACATACACATAGCATAAAATTTACCACCTTAGCCATTTTCAGATGTCCAGTTCAGCAGTGCTAAGCACACTTGCATTGTTGTGCAACCAATCTTGGGGACACTTGTCACCTTCCAAAACTTAAACTCCATACCCATCAAACAACCACTCCCCATCATCCCTCCCAGCTCCTGGAACATACAGTTTCAGTGTCTGTAATTTGATTCCTTAGGTGCTTTGTACAAGTGGAATCCTACCGCATTTGTCTTTTGGGCCATTATAGTTTTATTATAGCAGAACATTACAAGTCAGAGCCAACTAGAGAGAGAGAGACATGTACACGAGGTATGGGTGGATTTTGAATGCAAAGCCCCCACCATCCTCAGGGACACATCACCCTCTCAGGCTTGAATGTGACCAACTCACAGGACTGCCAACCAGGGCAGCTCACCAAAGCTTCATCAGTGTCCAGAGTTTTTATTGGTGTTTCACATAGCCATAATTGATGGACTCATTGCCCATGTGATGGAATTCAATCTTTAGCCCACCTCCCCTCCCCAGAGGTTAGGCTGATATCCTATGACTCAAAAACCCAGCTCTCTAATGCCATGACTGCTTCTCCAGACATAGCCAGTCCTTATCCTGAATTATCTCATCAGCATAAATGATGGAGGAGCCCACCGCAAGTCACCTCATCAGCAGAAGCTTCCACGTGTGTTCTAAGAGGCTCACAGTGACTAGCAACAACAGGGCCCTGTAACCCTCGTGGGAGATCAGAGATGTCTTTCTAACAGCTCATAGGCCCTACTGCCTTCGTTGAAGGGTGACCTCCAAATATATGCCCACATCCAGAAACCCATGAATGTGAGTTTATTTGGAAAAAAAATTCTTTTCAGATGTAATTATAGTTGAGAATCTCAAGATGACATCATTTTGGATTACCCAGATAAGCCCTAAATCCAATAACAAGTGTCCTTGTGAAAGACACACAGAGGAGAGATGGAGAGAAGAGGAAACGGCTTTGGGGAGACAGAGGCAGAGACAGGTGATGCTACCACAAGCCGAGATGACCACGGCCACCAGAAGCTGGAGGCACGAAGGAAGGAGTCTCCCCTTGAGCCTTCAGAGGGATCACAGCCCACCAGCCTTGATCTGGGGCTTCTGGCCTCCGGAACTGTGAGGAAATCTATTTCTGCTGCTTTAAGCCACCCAGTTTGTGGTAATTTGTCATAGCAGCTACAGAAAACTAACACAGAGAGCCTAAACAACACCCCACACACGCCATGGCTTCCCCTCAAGACAGACTGAAAGAGGGACTAAAGGGACACTGAGGCAGGCACCCTGAAAGAGGCCAGGGCAGATGGTGGCAGCCCGGCCCACAGGCTTCTCCATCTTCTCCTTGTCAAGACAAGCCCCCGGCCTCTGTTGCCCACTCTCCTCTGCACAGACACCCACTGCAGGAAGGGCTCCGTTCTAGTCTGTGAAAACCATTCATGGTCAACCTGCTTCCTTTATCAGTGATGAGTTAAGGGGTGGGCATGTTTCCTGGCCAGTGAAATGTGAGAGGAAAGATTTCCTGGTTTTTACAAAGGGATGTTGGGGAGGAGATGGTTCCTTCTCTCCTGGACCTGTCGGGGTGGATGGCCACAGCAGACTCCTTGTGACCATGAGGGCAGAAAGTTCGCTCACTGAGGAGGATCAAAGGCAAAACAGGAAAGAACCTGTTGACTCCCTGATGATATCGTCCAGCCCCGCCCCCTGGACTTTTTATAGTGGTGATAATTAATTCCTTCCTTTTGGGCCTTTTGGATCAGACTTTCTGCTACTTGTGGCCAAAGCACCTTTACTCAATGGTTTTCAAACATTCTTAACCAAATCTCATTGTGAAAATATTTTACATTGGAATCCAGATCCATACAGAGAACTGAAACGAATAATTCACAAAATAGTGTGTATAACACATTTGGATATTTTCTATCTATTCTTTTCTTTTTTACTTTTTTTTAGTTGCTGGTCACAACCTAGCATTTGTTGACTGATTTCATGATCCGCCAGTTGTCACAACACACAAGTTGCAAAGCACTATCTGGAAAAACGAAACAAAAACCAGAAATATTTGCCAAGGAGAGAGACAGAGAAGTAAGTTTTCCCAGTGGAGGCAAAAATCACACAGACCCTGCCCCAGACACCAAGATGGTGTCTTGGGGCACTGGTTGGGTACAAAGAAAGACAGGTGGAGAGGGACATGGGGGGTGAGACAGAGATGGAGGAAGAGCCCCACTCAGACAGAGCTGCACACCCACAGATGCTGACATGATACCCTGAGAAGGGCAGAGCGGGAGGCTGGCAGAATCAAGTGGAAAACACAGAAGTCCAGGGTTGAGAAGGGAGAGACAACGAGATACAGGAAATTAAAAATGAGATGCAGAGACAGATGTGCAAGCAGGCTGGGAAGTGGAGATTCTAAGGCCGAGACCCAAAGGAGACACATCCCAGAATAAGCTGGAGCATGAGGGGCCTTTGCACAAGCCGGGGTCTCAGAGTCCAGCTGCAGGCTGGGGCTCGGCCACTCAGGAGGCTTGGTTGTCACTTCACCTTTCAGTCCCTGCTTCCTTCTCTGAGAACCCAGCTAGCAGTCCCTCCTTCTCACGAGTGTGGAGAAAGTCACACTGCAAAGCAAGCACCAGGACTTAGGGTCTCTAAAGGATGGATGGATGGATGGATGTCTGGAAGGGCTGTCCTCACAGACCCCTGCCCTTGGCCGGACACAGAGTCTTTCACTGCCACCCACCCACAGCGTCCCCAGTGTCCCTCTCCAGACAGTCCCCTCCCCTGCTTCTCTGCCCAAAGGAGGGAAACCCATTTCCCTGGGAACAGCTGTGTTTCCTCAACAAACAAATGTTCCCTTAAAACGTTTCTGAGGAAGAGCGGATGGTAATGAGCGAACATCTGGCCAAGCGGCACACTTTCGTTTTTTGGCAGCTCCGGAGCCCGCCAAGTGAGTATTCCCTAATGTTCACCACATCCCAGCCCCTGCTATTCCCAATCAGGCTTGTACCACTACGCCTCAATTAAGAGCAGATGCGGGGCTGAGCGAACGAGGAGGAAAAAACACCCTTCCCCAGCGTCCCTCTGCGCTGCTCAAAATCCAGGGAAGTGGTCTGAGAACTCACAGCGACTCCAGCTTCTGCCTTTGGACTTCATCCGTCCATCCATCCATCCATCTGTCCATCCATCCAGCTTCCCCTGCTGTGGCCTTTGGGGATACAGACATGAACAACAGATCCTTGCCCCCATCTGGCTCCTAGACAGTCTTCTTCCCTATAATACAGGCATTGGCAAACTGGCTCTACAAAGGGCCAGATGAAAAATATCTGGCTTTGCAGGCCACATGCTCTTCGTCACAACTCTTCAACTGCACTGTTGCAGTGTGAAAACAGCCACGGACAAGTCATAAATGAATGAGCACAGCTGTTCCAATAAAACCTTATTTACCAAAATGGTGGCAGGCTGGATTTAGCCCATGGGCCATAATCTGCCAACCTCTGCTATATGACATCCTAAGTTGAGGTGATCACATCTTGGGGTATCTGCCTTAAGAATCCCTCACCCGCTGCACTGCATGAGCCCTGCTATCTCCTCCCCAACCCACTCTGGTGGACTCAATTGATTGGCCCACCCTGGGAAGACAAGGTGGTGATACCTGACCCAGCTGGGCTACTCAGTCTTTCTCCAGGCTTAGGAATTGGACCAAGTGGGTCAGTTGGGTCTGGAGCTCATTTACACTGGGAACTGAGGGGCCACCATCTTCTTCCTGCCTCCTAGATAGAGATGCAGAGAAAAGTGGGCTACAGACGGTGCAAAATTTTGGTCTGAATATTTGCATGTCCTCTAAATTCATGTGTTAAAACCCTCACCTGCAAAGTGATGGTATTAGGAGGTGGGGGCTGTGGCTAGATATGAGGGTGGAGCCTTCATAAGTGGGATTGGTGTCCTTATAAAAGAGACCCCAGAGAGACCCTTGCCCCTTTCATCGTGTGAGGACACAGTGAGACGGCACCATGTCTGAACCAGAAAGCAGGCCATCACCAGATACTGAATCTGCCAGCAGCTTGGTCTTGGACTTCCCAGCCTCCAGAACCATGAGAAATAGATCTTCGTTGCTTATAAGCCACCCAGTTTATGGTATTTTGCTGTAGCAGCCATAAGGGACTAAGACGGGAATGAAATAACCCATGTGGAGAGAGGCTTCCTGGCATCCTAATTTGCTTTCGGACTGTCCCATCCTGTCCTGAGCCCTGCCTACATTACCACCCTGGATTCCCCAGAGCCCCCTGGATCCTTCTTAAGGAGTCTGCTTTTCTGTTGATACTGGCTTAAGTTGGTACTTGCTTCAACTAAGCAAGCAAGGCATTCTGCACCACTTTCTGCCTCTGCATGCCGTTCATTGGATTACTGCAGGGCTTGCCCTGCAGTAGATACCTAGGAAAGTAAGACATGTCCTTGCCCTCCAGCAGCAGATAGGTAACAAAATAGGGAAGATGGACATCTGTGTTCCTCACTCTTGCACAAGCCACGATGTACTTGGAGTGCGTCAACTGCCAAGGAGGAAGGGGTATGGAGTAGGAGGTGGGGGAAATCTGAGAGCCTTGGCAGAGGAGGCGCCTGCTGTACCCCTTGGAGGGTGAGTTGACTTTGGGCAGAAAAATAAAGTGGAGGGGGCAGTGCTTGAGTTTAGAGCAATATTTTCCAAATTAGGTTCATAGAACGCTAATTCCAGGAGGAGTTTTCTGGTATCCATCCTCTCCTTTCTTACCCATCCACCTTTGATTCCATCCAATTGATAATGCACTCCTTAGAAATACTCACTCTCCCAGGCTCCTTTGCAGCTAGAGTGATCATGTGATGTACTTCTGACCAATGAGATGTAAGCAGAAATCAGCTGGAGGGTGCTTACAGGATATAAAGGTTCAAACTCACCTTTGCACCTTGCCTTCTCCTTCCTGCCTGGAATGTAGGTGTGGTGCCTGAAGGGGCTTTTTGCAACTATCAGGATGAAAGCTACATGCTAAGGAGGGCGGAGCAGGAAGCTGGAAGGAGTCTGGGTTCCGGTGCCATGTCCGGGCCACCATAGCCCTGGACTGCTTATTTCTGTACTGGTTACTGAGGGATTAGTGTCCTTATAAAAGTCTCCCATTTGCGACTCAACACACTTCTAACCAATGCAATGTTTAATGATAAAAGAGTTCTAAGGACCAAATCAGTTTGTGGACACCAATTTCCACTATCAGAGATTCACAAAATAGATTATTACAGGTTCTCAGAAACTTAATATGAAGATCACTGTTTAACCCAGTGTTTCCCAAAATGTTTGTTCACCAACACCTCCACTGCCAGGATGCCAATGGGCATCCCATGGAACACACTTTGGGAAACAGGCTATAGAGGAAGAAGTATAGGCTTCAGGGTTAAGGAAGATCTGGGTTGTAATGCTGTGTGGCTTCAGACATCTCATATAACCTCTCCAAGCCTGAGGTTCCTATTCTATAAAACAAGTGAGGGACATTACAGGTTACAGATAATCCAGGCAAAGCGCTCGGCACCGTCTGTGGCTCCTAGTCATCAACAATTCTCATTAGCTGCTAGGATCGTGTTTTGAAAGGAATGTAGCATCAGAGACAGAAGAACCTGACTTGAGTGATGGTTTGCCACTTTCTTCCTCTGTGACCCTGGGCCAGTGACTGCACTTGTCCGAGCCCCTGTGTTCTGAATGGCGGAGCAGGAATTACAGTGTCTACTTGGGCAAGAGGTGGTATGTGGAAAAGCCTGGCTCCAGGAGGACCTTCCCCCAAGGAGGTCTGGAGGAGCCCAGAGCTCTGCCACCAGGCCTTGCCTCCAGTCCCTGCAGGCCAGCCCTTTGCCCCAGAAAGGCTACAGCTTTTGGCTTTTGCATTTTCATTTGTACGGCATCTGCCTTGCCTCCCTGCCCACTTGTCTGTCTTCCCCAGGGGATCGCCATCGGACCCTTCCTGGAGCCCCCCAGCGCAGAGCCTCTGCTCCAGGATCCAGCCGGTTCTGTCTCCTCATGAGCCACACCTGCAGGGCCCAGTGAAGCCTCCCAGCCTTGCAGGGCTCCTCCGAGCCCTCCCAGGCAGCCACATCACGAGGCTCAAGCAAGAGCACAGGGGCGTGGCCTGATGTCCGGATGCATCTTCACACTGCGCACGAGGTCTTGGGGAAATTGCTTCTCCTTCGAGCCTGTTTCCTCTATAAAAGGAAGGGGTTGCAACATATGGAATTGAAAATGAAGGTAAGACTTGCTTCACGGGGTTGTCAGGAAGATGAAATGAGGAAGAAAAGCACATCTGTACGCACATTCGTTGGTCGCTATTATTTACATTTTATTTTCTCAGCCTTACTTTCGAGGCCTTTCATTCTCCTTGTTACCCTCTCTCTTCTTCACGGTGAGCTTGACATTTCCTTCGACATGTGCCGAGTGTTAACTATGTGCTGGGTACCCTGTTTGTATTATCTTAGTTCATCTTCCCCCAAATTCTACGAGGTAAATCTCCCCCCCCCCCCGCTTTTTTTCTTGAGACGGAGTTTCACTCTTGTTGCCCAGGCTGGAATACAATGGTGACATCTCAGCTCACCACAACCTCCGCCTCTCAGGTTCAAGCGATTCTTCTGCCTCAGCCTCCCGAGTAGCTGGGATTACAGGCATGCGCCACCACGCCTGGTTAATTTTGTATTTTTAGTAGAGATAGGGTTTCTCTGTGTTGGTCAGGCTGGTCTCGAACTCCCAACCTCAAGTGATCCACCCCCCTCGGCCTCCCAAAGTGCTAGGATTACAGGCGTGAGACACCATGCCCAGCCTGGTAAATCTTCCTTTTATTCCTATGTTCCAGTTAAGGAAAGAAGCTCAGAGAGGCGGAGTCACTGGCCCCGGTCGGATGGGGTATATGTAGCAGATCTGAGACTGAAACCAGGTATTCCGGTGTTGAAGCTAACCCTGCTAACTACGGCACTACCCTGCTTCCCTGCTGGCTGCCAAAACCTGTCTGTCGATCCTGACTCCAGGCTAGCGAGGCTCATCTGTTTCAGGAACAGATGTCGTGCCGCATTAGTCATTGACATGTTAGTGTGAACGGAAACCTACTTTCTGAAATTCTTTTCTAACTCATCTCAGGCAGAGGTCCCTGCTGCCTCCTCTGTGCCCCCAAAGCTTTTGTAATTCCCAAGCATAGGCTTGTCATGGTACCTGTCTGCCGCTCTGAACCGAATCTGTGGATTGGTCAAGGATTACATGTATTCATCTCAGTGTCCCCAGTGACCAGCACGGCACCTGCCACTAAGCAGACACCCATTTAAATCTGATGAATGAACAAATGAAGTGAGTTAATCATACCCCCTAATGAAAGCCATGTGCATCAATGAATCTTGAGGCACTTTTCATTTTGGTGACATGACAGTGATAGGTACTTAGAGTCAGGGCTGGTCCTACCAGGAAGGGACTATACACTGGGGAGACCCCAAAGTTTCCTTCTGTTCCCAGAAACTCTCCCTCCCCTCATTGCTGCTCACTATTAGAGCTCTGCCTTTCACTGTGGGCAGATTGCCCTCCCCCTGGAAAGGCCTCTCTCTTCCTTTAAACTTCTGTTCAAGTCCCAGCTCCTTCCAGAAGTCCTCCACCCAAATCCTGAGGCATCCCCCACGTCTCTGAACTCCTGGGTTCCACTGCAGATTTTCTGTAGCCAGACACCAATAGAAACCAACCAGGTGTTAAACAGAGAACACATCGGAGGGCTCTTGAGCATGCTCAGAGCTGACGTGAAGGCAAGAAACCCAAGCATAGGCAATGCGCAGGAGTGAAGGAAGCCAGGCGTTCAGTCCTCAGCCGGGTCCACACTGCAGGGATTACCTGGTGAGGTGGCTGCTACTGGCCCTGGACCTTGCTGCTAGGATGAGCACAGAACTGCCCTTACTTCTCATCCCTCACTTTTTTTTTTTTTGAGACGGAGTTTCACTCTGTAGCCCAGACTGGAGTGCAATGGCACTATCTCAGCCCACTGCAACCTTCGCCTCCCAGGTTCAAACAATTCTCTTACCTCAGTCTCCCGAGTAGCTGGGATTACAGGCGCCCGCCACCACACCGGGCTAATTTTGTATTTTTAGTAGAGATGGGGTTTCACCATGTTGGCCAGGCTAATCTCAAACTCCTGACCTCAGGTGATCCGCCCGCCTCAGCCTCCCAAAGTGCTGGGATTACAGGCGTAAGCCACCGCACCTGGCTCACCACACACCTATAATCCACCTCCATCTTGGAAGGAGCAAAGGGGCCAAGCTTTGATCGGGTGCCTGCGTCCTCAGCACAGCAAAGTGGGTCTGTGTTCCATACCAGGCCACACTCCAGGACATGTTGCACAAATGCAGCCAGGGCTCAGGGCCACTGCCATCCACCCCTCTGGCTGCCCAGCCTTCATATCCATCCCTCTCCTGTTCTCATTGTTTGCCAGGGCGTGAGAAGTGAGCACATGCAAGAGCTTTGTAGGAGGAAGACTCGGCAAGGCTTGCCGATGAATTGGGTATGGGATGAGCAGAAGGACTAAAGCTGCCTCCTGGATTTCTGGCCTGCAGAGCTAAGGGGATGGGGATGGCGATGTCATCACAGAGGTGGGGCCACTCCAAGAGGAGATGGTGTTGGAAACAGGTCCATAGCTCACTCTCTGTACACCCCCTCCAAAGCTTCCAGATCGTCCTCTTCCCCCAGAGCAGTTTCTCCTGGCTCTGCTCTGTGCTGTCCTCTGGCCACACCCCTTTACCCGGCCACTATTTCCCAGCAGCAGCATTTTAGGTTCCCTGTTCCTCAGCAAGCTCTCTCTAGCCCTCAGGCTAATGCCTTTTTCTTTCTTTAGCAATATATAGCCTGTAATCCCAGCACTTTGGGAGGCCAGGGGAGGCAGGTCACTTGAGTCCAGGAGTTCAAGACCAGCATGGGCAACCTGGTGAAACCCCATCTCTACAAATAAATAAATAATTAGTTAGCCAGGCATGGTGGCATGAGCCTGTAGTCCCAGCTACTTGTGAAGTGAGAGGATTGCTTGAGCTGGGAGGTCAAGGCTGCAGTGAGCCAAGATCGCACCACTACACTCCAGCCTGTGTGACAGATTGAGACCATGTCCCAAACAAACAAACTAAAAACAATACATACAGGCCAGACACAGTGGCTCACACCTGTAATTCCAGAGCTTTGGGAGGCTGAGCTGGGAGGATTGCTCGAAGCCAGGAGTTGGAGGCTGCAGTGAGTTGTGATCATGCCATTGCACTCCAGCCTGGGCGACAGAGTGATACTCCGTCTCAAAAAAAAAAGACCTATCCCACGTTATACTTTATTGCCTGTCTACCGTGCACCTGGCACAGCACTGGGGTCTCAGTTCATCTCTCACCCATTTTGCCTACGGGCTGGTGAGGTGGGCAGAGCTCGCTCATCACAGGCAGAAACTCAGGTCCAAATCTTAGAAACTCATCCGAATGTTCACAGCCACCCCAGAGCAGGGGCTGGACTCAGACTCCGATCTTTATTCCTTTTCCCAGCACTGCCCACCCATGTGGGGCTGCCTGGCTATCGCCCCTGGGAAGAGAAGCTTTTTCTAATTGGCTAATTCTGTGGGAAAAGCTGGGTGGGGGATGTTTGGGGACAGGTAGGGATGGCCGTGAGAGAAGGTGATGGAGTTCGGCTTCATTCTAGGACCCCCCAGGCCAGGGGGGTCCCCACCCTCTGGTGATGCCTCCCTCCAGGAAGAGAAAGCTTGAGGCCACTGGCACAGAGCCCTCTGAAAGCAGCTGCCCAGGTCACCCAAGCCTGCTCTAGAGAGAGGCTCCTGAGCCCGCAGCAGGGCCAGCTCTGGGGGACAGGGAAAGGGCCCTGTTTTCCCCCTCTCATCCACATCTGTCTTAATGCCAGAGCAGTGGCCACAGGGAGAAATGGGGACTCTGTAACCTGTGCAGCATTGAGGGACCCTTAGGATGGCCAGAGAGGAGGGGGAGGACAGGGAGAGGAAATCATAGAGAGATGGAAACGGCTCCCCACCTCCCCTCCCTGTCCCATCTCCCTCCCTCCCTCTTCTTTCCCTTCAGAACGTAGGAGCCCCAGGCCCCCTGAAAGGCTACAGTGCTGAATTACATTACCACCACGCTGGGCTACTTTTTGTATTTTTAGTAGAGACAGTCATCTTCTAACTACACGCTCAGGTCCCTGGGCCCCAGCTTCCTGCTCAGGCTCCTGGAATTTTGGAGAAAGAGCTGCTGCCCTGCTAGCTGGCCTCCAAGTCCCCAGCCCCCAAAGGTTGACTTAGCTCCCCTCTCAGACGGGACTCGCTCTCGCGATTTGTTAATGGTGACACTCACATGAGTTTGTATTAATCGCCCTGATGAGGGTCATGTCCAAAGTGGAATGGGTGGGAATAAACAGTTCAAAAATCCATTAGGAAATGAGTCCACGGGTGGCAGAGTGACTGTGTGATTTATCCTTCATCCAGGATGTCATCTATACTTGGTAGGATGACCAGATGACGTATCTTCCAAACAGAGACACTTGTGAGCGAGAATGAGGGGTCATTAGTAATTATGCCACACAGCAGGTGTAAATCAGGCTTTCCCCAGGTGCCTTGAACCTGTAGTCACCCATTAATTGGGAACTGGGACCCATTTTTTTTCCCTCTCATTAGCTCCCGTGAAAGTCTGGGCAAGTTTCATGGTTCCCAATGTAGAAATGAAGAAACTGAAGTTACGAGCAGGGAGGGGATGTGCCCAAGACCATCCTCTGTGGCCCTTGTGACCGGCCCAGCCCCTCATCACACTGGCTCAGAGCTTACCTGCGTGTCCAGAGAACCTACAAGGGGTCCAGCCCTCAGGGCCACAAAGGGATTCTGGAATTCTGGAGGCTGAAGATACAGATAAGTTTATGGTCTAGGTGAGGGGAAACCCTGGCCAGAGACAA